CGAGGTAACACATGCCTGTGATCCCAGAAACTTGGGAGCCTGAGACAAGAGGATCACAAAGTTCAAGGGGAATTTTAGCAACTTAGTGAGAACCTGTCCAAAACACAAAAACAAAAAAGACTTGGGATATATTCAGTGGTAGAGCACTCTTGGGTTCAAACTGCAGGACCAAAAATAAAGTATATGGGAGGGATGTGTTACAGAAGACACTATGTTATTTTATAAAAGGGACAAGAGCAATTGTAGATTTTTATATCCATAGGGTTCTGGAACCAATTCCCTGAAGACACCAAGGCATAACTGTATATCCTATCTCAATCAGTGTTTTTCAAACAGGGGTATTAGAATTAGTACCCTTAGATGCACATTCAACCACTAAATAAACACCTCATATCTTCATGGATGTCATTTTAATATTTGGGGGAAAAGCTAAATATCCTAACTGGCAATTAAACAAAAGTGTTACACTGAATGTTGCTACGGTAGTGTTTGCATTATGTTTCAAAATGCAACACAAGACTATGTTTGCACTGGGTCTTTGGTCACTTTCTCAGATTTCCCAGGCTATTTCTTCACCATCTTCTGCTGTTATATATTCCAAACATTTTCATGGAAGTCATTCTAAGTTGCCTTTCATCCCAAATTTTAATTATTTTACTAAATACAAGTTCATTTTCTTCTCAATGCCAGTCACAAAAAAAGTTTGGCTCCAACAGCCCTAATTACCCTTAAATTTGCAAAGACAATCTGAAAAATAACATTTTATATTGCACAAGTCATGTGATGTAGAATTTATAGTTACTAAGTCAGAAGCAATAAAAGCAAAAATACCTTAAATGGAGATTATACTTTTATCTATGATTTCCCAAGATCTTAGCTATTACCTTGAGTCATTCTTTTACTAAATTATGCACATTTTAAGTCTTTACATAAACAGACTACTAGCCTTATTTAACATATAAAATATTTTGTCTTATCACTATAATTTCTCTGCCGAGGAGAATCATAAAATTAGGAGGTGCATAAAATCATGCATCTCACTGGATAAATATGTAAGGACAAAGTGGTATGACGACTCTATGGACAAACATAAGGTCATGTATCCTAACAGCCCTGGAAGAGCATATCTGCATGATGCTGGTTGAGGGTTGCACATTAAGAGAAACAATGAGAAACTGAAGTACATTCAAAGATAAACAAAACTTTTAAGATCTCGGCTTCACAAATAAGAGGTAAGAACACAGGGATAAATAATTTATAGAAAAGAATTTGGACTTGAAACTGATGGGGAATTATTAATAGCTATCTTTAAGACTGTCATATCTGAAAGAGATCAGAATTCTGTCATCCAGAACTAGGATCAACAAGAGGAGGTAGTAGAGCAGTACCTGAGCTGGGTAGTCAAAACAAAAACAAAAACAAAAACAAAAACTTGAGTCCTACAGACGATCTATCATTTACTGAGTTCAATACTATGCATGTGATGTGATGTTTCTAGATACCAATCATCTTATATGTAAAATGAGGGTGCTAAGCTGGATAATTTCTAAGGTGACTCTCAAATTAAAAAGGCATACGTGCAAATTCTCAACTTCTTACTCTCAGACCCTCCTGAACACGGAACCAGCTACCTCATGAAATGGTGGGTTGTATCACTAATTCATACTAACTTATTATTCTGTGCTGGATAAAGGGAAAAGTGAAATAAATAGCAAATTGTTTCAAGTTAAACCCAAATGTCCATAAGCTGCAGTTCTTATCAAAGAACTCAAACCTGAAGATTACTATGTTTTCTATACTATCATCCATTCAGTAAATTTTATCAGTAATTCTAGGAAAAAATCCTAATCTGTATTCCTGTCTGATCTATATTCCATATTGTAGCTTCCTTTATTTTTAGATAAACTAAATATTATATTAACACACAACTCTTTGAACCTACTTAATATTCCTTAGAAAATAAAACATTCCTCTCTTAATGATTGTACATTAGGCTACAATATTATTTTTTAATCTTTAGTAAAATTCCCAAGTTAGTGTAAGTTAATATTTATAAAATTCTCTAAATCAATGTCTCAAGCCAAAATAAAATAAGTCAAGCAATTATTTTCTAAGTCCTAAGTATCATTTAATAAAAAATAGGCACACATAGCCAAAATGAAGCAAGGCAATAATTTCAAGGAATGTGTACTCAAACTTTCTTTGCAAAGCACACATATTTTTATAGTGCTCAAGGCTTAAGAAATACTAAGTTAAATATGTATTATAAATACTACAAGAGCTAAGGTAGGTGATACCTTGTATTATCAGAGGCTACATACACCCCAAAGACATGTTTCTTGATGCATTCCATACTCACACAAAAACAAATCTGTGATTTGGCCATTTCTGATCTCTGGGAGTTTTAAGAATAAATCATTTCCCAAATTCTACATCTGTCCGAAACAGCAAGGATATCTGTTATATCTGATAAAGTTTACTTTGTCAACAGACATTATATTGAACATATTTTGAACATTTTTCTACCTAGGCCATACCTTACCTCGAGCAGAGATCCCTTTGATCATTATTTCTGAAAACTCCGATGCATACTTCACAATTCCCTAACATTTACTGCAGTAATATAATCATCTTAGATGCACATATTAGTGGGTAAAAACTCAGAGAACCTCTGTGCTTCTTCTTGAAACATTCACATTTTAGGGCTAATATGGAATATTTTAATAGAAAAAAAACAACTGAATTTAAATAGTAAAAATTTACTTAGGACATCTAAGCACTGACATTTTGCTCAACTGTTTCATGACAGCATAGGAAAATAAGATATGTGGACATATTTACAATAAGCTCTAAGGTCAGTACGTTGCAGGCTTGTGACTTTTTAAAACATAAGCTACCAAAAAATAAATCAACCTTTGTTTCCTCACTAAAAAACAATCAAAACAGACTTTTATACTATAGTTCGTCTAATCAATGATGGTGACACCATAAGCTTATGTTCTTATACCTTGAAGACATAATGATAATAAGTCAAGTTCCAACATTCTGCAACATTTTTATTTTAAAGGCTATTGATAGTATAGGGAGTCCATGTAAGAAAAATTACTTATCTTTGAAATATTTCTGAACTTTCTGATGCAGGATATTTTTCATCCCCACCTCCATTCCACCCTTTACACATTTATAGGAAATGCTTATAAATTTTTGGATTCAAGAAAATACACCCTTCCAATGAAATATATCTGTAAACCTTTTAAAAGATTTAATTATAAAAATAGAACTTTTGTTCACAGAATCATTAACTGATCTTTTCCAAACTTACCAGATTAATAAAGGCAAGAATTTTGCCTTCCTTTCCTCTGCCCCAATACAGCAATTATTCCAAGTCACTTTTATAATTCTCATTTTTTCAGAGCATAATTTTTTGGGAAGTCAAATTATCACATTTTAATCCACAGGTTGACATTAATGCCATTTTCATATCTTGACTAGGACCCCATCTTAATGTTATTTAAAATTGTTTGGAGTCCAATTCTTGTGTAACTTTGTTCAAATCTAAAAGGAAATCCTCTTGCTTCTAGCAGATCCTAACATAAAAAAGTAAAGTCTTCCAACAACTTCATTTAAATAAGTTTATGTAGCTATGAAGATAAGAATCTTAATTAAAACAAATTTTACCCTTTTCCATGCCTGTTTTGATAAGGTTAAAACAAGAGACTCGAAATCAAGATTTCTCCTTCTACAGCCACTTGTTCAAGTAGAACATTCAATACAAAACATTTTTCTTCTTTTGATAACAACTCTCACAAGTTGAGTAGTTCAATTTCCAGATGTTCTTTTTCTTTTTCCTCTTTTTTTTTTGAGTAGAGGGACTACATGCTATTTTTTAAGGGGTATATTTTGATCATTTTAGTCTTTAAAAATTTGACCATTTACTCCTGATTATTAACTCAAAAGTTTTAATGATCAAAGGGCTTTATCTTAAAAAAAATTATGACACACGAAAGAATCGAATGTATATTCAGGAAACACTTATGAGGAAGACATATAAAATTAAAATACACTTTATAATACTGTAGCAGTGTTCACTTTCTACTCCTGAAACAGAAATAAGCCATTTGTCAGTAAGTGCATTTTTTCATGGAAAAAATATTTATTAGTTTTCAAATGATCACATAATACAAATATTACAATTAGTCATTCTAGAAAAAAATTAGCTTATATTAATATTCATAAACACTGAAAAAATATAGGACTGCATATTGTGACATGAAATTATTTTTAAAAATCTGAAAGGAAAATGCATCAAACTAAAAGTTTAAATAAACAAATCAGTTCACATTAATATACAAAAAATTCACTTTTAAATAGCTTCAAGTGGCATGAGATAAATAGAAATGCACTTACATTTCTTTTGCACACTTTAAGGAACAGAGCTAAAATTTAATTAAAGCATGAGATTAAGAGATTAAATTTCTTTTCATCTTCAGAGGTGAAACAAAAATCTAATAATCTCACAGGCAGGCCATAAAATGGTTTAAACCTTGGTTCAAAAATTCAACTAACTTAATCTGAAGCAAAAATTTCACTTTTGGTTTACTGAGTGCATTCTAAAAATGTTGGGTAGTTGTTTCTGAGTTTATACGTGTTTGTAAACCAACTGTCTTATTAACATTTAACAAAAAAACCAAGTCAGGAATAAAAGGCTGTAATCATTTATGGGAATTTAGAGTTCTTTGGGGGAAATTTCAGTTCAAATTGAGATTTTAAACTTACTTTTAAGTACTACACTTATAAAAATTTATTTATAAATAATGAGGAAAAAACAAAGAGTTTTCAAATTTAGCCAAGAAGGACTAAAGGCCAGGTTACATTTTAGCAAATGTGGCTTCTAAAATCTTTGATATTCCTAAAACATTTCAGTTGCTTACATATTAGTAATTCTAGAATTTCTCTTCTTAAAAATTCATATCAAAATAAAACAAATCAGCAGCATCAGATGACTTTTAAAAAGTTCTTTAATAGCTTTTGACTGACCAGTTAATAGACCAAAAGAAACAAACATTTTGATAACTGTTTCTCTTGACTGACAGTTGGGATATGTATTTTGCAACATGTATTCACACCTATTGGCTTATTCTAATATCACAACTTGCCCTTGCTCTGTAAATTACTGCTATGTGACAGCATCATTCAAACTTTAGCTTGCTTTCAGTGTAGAACAATACCTCAAGTTTAATAGGTATTTATTACTTTAGAAGACAGACCAAGCTACTCTGATCTCAAAAATGTCTCTTCTATTTCTATACTACAGTTTTGTTGATTTGACAAATAAGAATAAGGCTCAAGATCAGCAAAAGATGAGCTAAAGATTAAAACTAATATTAAAAGTAATTCTGAAGTAATTAAGAAATTCAACCTTTGTTTATTTGTTCTTTTCAGTGCCAATAACAAAAAAAATTCATGACTTTTTTTGGATTTCCTATACTATTTTAAAAAGTTTGCCTACTTCATTAAGGTGATTTTCAGTCCCACAAATCTTATAAATGAAACATACAGAGAGCTGCTTTAAAAGAAAGGAATCTCTCAAGCTTCCTCTATTTCAGTCTTCTGAATAGAAAGGAATATTTTCATGGCCATGTAAAACTCCAATCTCAAAAGATTATTTCATTATTTGAGCCTTTTCATTTTCGGACAAGAGTAAACCAGAGTAAATCTTAAAAGTTTATAAATAACAAGATCAGGTTGCTCGCTCATCCTTGTGTCTTCTACACATATTGCATGGATCCATTCACCACTGCCTTCCAAACTGCAGGTGCTGGCATGTGTGACAGATATCATCCATGAAGGCTCTGCTAGAAGAATTCCTTTTGCTGAAGAAGTATGATGTTTTACCAGTTGAAAGAAATCTGGGCAATTAGAGAACAAATAAACCGGTCTCCCATTATCAAGATACCTGGAGTCACAGAAGGAATCCACCAAGGAAAAATGAAAACTTGCCACAGGCACCAAGTTCACATTCTACCCATTGTAGATAATAAGAACTTCCTGGAATCAAATCCTACCCTTGGCATCAAAGAAACTAAGAAAAAAACCATCTTAATGCCATGGGGAAAATCTAGCAAAAGGCTCTTCTACTACAAATAACATTATTCCTCAGAACTAGAAAACTACTTTTGAGTATAATAAATACAGTTTTCAGGGATATTATATCCTGAAACTTATACTCATTTGGTAATGAAACCTGGATTTGATAGTAAAACCATAACAGTACTATCATTGCATCTTCTAAATGATCTAATAATAAGTCCTAACATTTGAGGTAGGAAAAGACCAAAAAGTTCTCACTAACAGGGTAGGATAACACTTAGACATCTGACTGTATAAATTAAGAGATTTCAGATGTCCAGCTTGCCCAAAGATGAAATACAGAACTTTTCGAATTATTAGAATGTAAAAGAGCACTTAGAAGTCCACTATTACCATAAAGGCTACAATGGGTAAATACTCCTTTTAAAAATTCCTGTGGACTACACAGGCATTCACCAAATCACGTGCTCCAAATCATCTACTGCTTTAATTATCTGGAGAGAAAATTAAATAAACTTAAGTTTTCTATTTTGGAATGGGCACTACTTTGCATTCAGAAAAACAAACAGATTGTAGCCCCACCTGGTTCTTAATATGAACCCAAGGATTTTTACCAATAGAATAAAATGGGCAATGGAAGGACACTCCAATCTATAAATAAACCCAAGTAAATAATGGAAAGCACCCACTTGTTTATAATCCTTTCCCACTCTCTCCAGAAGCTGGATATTCTGTCTCCAAGGGTTCAGTAGAGAAAGTGGACCCCTGACGTCAAAAGCTCTCCGTGGTCTTGGCTGAATCTGTGGTTCTAGGATCACTCCTTGCACCTCTGGTAGGAGAGAAGCACTGAAATAGAGAGCTGAATATAGATTTAAGAAAAAATTCTTATTAAGAAATTACATTCTCTGGTCATTTGAGTTTGTAATGGCTTATCCTCAGGACAAAAAGAAGCTATCTTTGGGCATACTTTCTTTAGTGCCTTCTTAATTTGAATTTTAGAAGTCTGTCACCACAAATGATTAATTCCTCAGTAACTATTAAGAAGGGATCTATTTTGGTCTAAGCCATAACACACTCTGTGACAAACCACTCAACTTCGAGTGGAAGATCGAAGCAAAAAAAATAATAAATTAGGACAGGAAACAAGACCATAGTTGTCTTTAAAGGGACAGGGAAAAGGCATTCAACCTCAGATATATCAAAGGAGTCCCAGTTAATTCTTCTGTCAAAGAGAAGAAGATGGATTGAAAGTAGAAATAGAATAATCAAGCATATTAACAGGAATGCTACTAAATTTCAGGAAGTATCAGAAGCTGAATTTGTTATCAGTTTTCAAGTCATCAGTAATTTAATAAGTCACAGTATAAGCCAATATCATAGCAATACAAGGCTAAACCTGCATTTTTAAAAGCTATGACTACTGCCCCTGAAAAGGGCTTATTCATCAAGCATTCATCTTTAAAACTGGGAGGACAGAATAGTGGACATAGGTAACACAGATTCAAAATCTTTTTTAAAATGCAAGACCATTTTGTTTTGGGTCAAGATGGATCAGGAATAATAATTAATGGCTAGAATGTAGAAATTAAAGCAGTAAGACATATCCAAATAATAGATGATGGTAAAGATATTGAAAAACAGTTAGCTTTATTACAGAAATAAAGTAAATAGAGAGAAGGAAGGTCAAAGCACATAGCATCTGATCAAGGAAAAGCTGAAAGGAGAATAAGACAGGCAGATATGTATTTAAAGCTATGGGGACTGTAGGATAAATGTTAACAGTGTTGCCTCTGCAAAACAGATCAATTATACTTTGTGGTACAGAGTGATATATCCCTATTAAATTTCAGATCTTATTCTAAATAAAAAGGTGCTGCATATCCCTAAATCAATGGAAGGTAGTCACTCACAGTGTCCTATTCATGAGACATTATATTTTGGGATAAATAAGAAAATAAATGCTACCAAGTAACCTCCCTCTCACACCAACTGGTTATTATTTCCTTACCTGTTAGTGGACCGAGGACTGTGCTCTCTTGTTCTCTATCAACCAACCAACAAAGGTTCTTAGTCTCAGCACTAAGAAAGTAGCAACCAACCAAAGTTAGTGTTTTAATGCCTTCACTTTCTCCTGGCTCTGGCAGCCAGTTTGGAAATGTACCCAAAGCTGAAAAGGAATGGTTATTCCATTACCTAACAACATTTAGACTAAACTTTTTAAAAGCCTGAAGATGAAAAGAATGAGCTAACCCTTCTGCTTAGGAACATATCCAACTCTGTAAAAATGAGAAATAAAAACAATTTGGCCTAAGAAAACTTATGAATTTAACCGTCAAATCTGTAATTTCAAAAAATTAAAAGAAATGAAAAAGGATATCTGAAAGAGTCAAGGAGGTGAAATTGCCATCTAGGCAAGAGGTATCAAATAAATAACTATGAAAGCATTTCATGAGCCTAATCGGCAGCTATTCTTTCATTTAAAGTTTCAAATGGATTTTAAGCTCTAGAGTCTCCTAATTCTGAAGAAACTTTATTTTTAGATCAGTAGGTTTAAAAAGGTATTTTACATTATTATCACAAAGAGGCAGTAGATAAGGGATGAGAGGAAAGAAACCCAAATTAGAAAAAAAGATTTGAATACTGAATATCTCAAAGAATGTTCTTCAATTAGATAGTTCCCAAGAAATCAAAAAATAAATAAATAACCCAAACAGATTAACAAAGTATTCCACAGCTGGAGATCTTAAGGGGTAGCTCTTTAACACATGGCAAAGGCTTAAAATTAGTAAACCAGAGCTATCTTATATACCTTTTCACTGTACCTACATGGTGCAAATAAGCCCTACAAAATGTTTTTAAATTATTAAACAATCTTCCTCTAGTCTTTCTAATCACTTTCTTGACAAACCATTCCTTTTCATATATAGTAATATTTCAACATAACCCATAAGAATTATTTGATTACCAAATAAAAGAAACCAAATTAAAACTTAACTACAGCGATCAAGATAGTTAAAAACCTATTCAGGAATTACAAATAAGATATGATCTTCCAAATTTCCCAGTTTCCCTCCAATTCTTAAATACAAATCAGTAATACATATAGCTAAATGAAAACAGAGAGAAAATGTTTTGGAAAGGTCTATTTTGAACAGGAAATACACTTGGTAATTTTTTTTCAAGTTTACAAACCTACTTCACTTTGAAAAACAACTCCCCAAAAATATCTTGCTCAGATTAATATTAGGCTAAAGTTTACAACTTCTTCTTCAGCAGAAGCTTTACGTTAAACAACTCCAAACCTTTGATTTATTTATTACATCCCACAGAATGAATGTTAAAAATATAATCAATTTAGATTTAAAAAGCGAATGTTTTTAAGTTAGAATATAGAGCAAGTTGTATAAATACAAGAGCTAGGTAGAGATATGGATCCATTTATAAACTCCCAATTCAGATCACACCTTCAGAATATAACTTCTTTATTTTGCCCAAAGTATCAAAACTTCAACATATTCAGAAATAAACAGATTTCTTAAGTAAAAATTATTCTGAAATTATCGAGGATAGATTTCTCTTGTTTCAACAGTTTATAATTTATGAAAACTTTGAATTTGATAATCTATCATTTACACAGAAAAATATAGAGGCACTTTCAAAACAAGGTCATCATTCAAACAAGAAAGGGTAGCTGTTGTGAGAATATTATTAATGGAGGTTCACAAAAATGATACAGTAACACCTTAACTAATTCTACTTTAATAAGCAGCATTCTTCTGTGTGATATTTTAAGATGAGGAAAAAACAAAAAACTGTGCACTGGAGAACTAATAATCCAACTACTAAGGTAAACTTCAAACCAGAGCTAACAAAATCAGCAATCTGCCAGTACACAAATAAAATGATTTTAACTTTTTCCATAAAATTTTAAAGATTCTTACTGAAAATCCAGTCACATTCAAATCAGAAACAATAAAGCTAAGTATTTTTAAATGAATACCGCTGAGAATTTCTTTTGAGATATATAGCAAATTATATTATTTGAAACATTTGCTTTCAATTCTAAATTATTAAATGAGCATATCTGGATAACTAGTTTTAAGCATTCCTAATATCAAAGAAAAAAAAGCCTATACTTAATTTTTTTAAGTAATGAAATAGAAGGCAACATGATTCTATTAAGATCATGATTTCTATTCACTTGTGCTGTAACTGATCTTGCTGATTTATAAAGGTATAAATTATTCATAAAACAAGACATTCTACAAGAATTAGAAACATAATAATATCTTTTTCTTATCTTTTATCACTCATTCTTTCTGGTTCTAAGGCATTTCTATAAAAAACAAATTTCTCACAAATTCCTCTAAGTATCAAAGCAGTCCTACAGTTGGCAGAAAGAAGAGAAAAACAAACAACTTACAAAAGTAGAGTTTTTCTATCTCTAGCCCCTAGAAAAGTGCTCAACAAACTGAGCAGATGATTAAGATGTTTTACAAATAGATATAGTCTACTGGTCAAGAAATGAGAAGAATTTTTTCAAGTGGCTATTATCTAAAGCAGATACAAAAAGTTCAAATTTCTAATCCTAAAGGAAATAAAAACTTTGTCAAAAGTATTACTTTCATGGATCAATCTCTTTTGGATTCATTTCTAGGATTAATTTTTTAGTATGGTCAGCAGAAACTTCAAAGGTATTATCCTTAGATGATTGATGTGTCAGCAAAATCACAATACCTATTACAGAGTTTCTAATGTTCTATTTCAGAGACTTAAAAAAAAACAAACCAGATTACTACAAGAACACTCAGTTTCAAAATTTCAATTTCAAAAAATAAGAGATCTTGCCATAAAACACAACAAACAGAGCTTCCTTAGAATTAGCTAGCCAAGTTATTACATGGAGAAAAATATCTTCAAACCACAAATAATATATGTATTATCAAGTGAAATAGACCTTAAAAAAAAATAAGGGCAAAAACCTGGAACTTAAAGGACTGCTCAGCATTATGAGGATGCATACTTCATCATGGAAAGCAATTTCCTAAAAAGAAGGAAGTTGTAATGAAAAATGGAAAACCTAACCAGTAGAATGTTTTCAGACCCCGATATCTAACAAATTCTCTTATAAATACATTTTTCCATCTTTTGGAAAAGATATCATCTAAAAATGGTATTGGGATTCAATGATACTTGAGTGTCATGTTTTGTTGAAATAAAAGCAATAAATTGCTAACCAAAATGTGTCTTCAGGCTCCATACTAAGATATAAGGCAAAGTAAAATAATTTTTTAAAAAATCCACAATACTTATTTTTAAAGCATTTAATGTGCTATGGAATAAAAGATAAAAAGGCAAAAGGCAATGTCAAAGTCAATTAAGACTAAAGCACAAAAATCCTTAAATTTGTCTGATTCCTTCCAATGAAAGAGGTTTGCATATTTGACAAAGATTTACTGAAAGTAATTTTAAGAAAATATCTCAATTACACTTACAAATATTTTTGATAAATGGTCTATTCATTACCTCTTACTTCTCTAGCATCTTCTTTGCCCATTTATTTTCAGAATATGAAATACTTGGCTCTGTTCTTATGAAAGCCAGCATGACGTATATAAAAGTTATTTTAAAAGGTAACTTTTCCTTTTTTTTACTGTATTTTTTATTCTTGGGTTGTGCTGCATTCATAATGAGTACACTCAGAAAAAATGAAGCTAAGACTACAGTGTTTACATTAATTCCTTTGGGATCTTTATCCATTTATGATAAGAAAAATTATTTATCAGTCAATAACAAAACATAAAAGATGCTAAAGAATTGCATTTAAAAGGTTCTGATCAAGCAAG